AAAAAAAAAAAATGGTACACCAAGTCTCCTTGTGGTCTTACAAGAAAGCAGGGTCACAGAAAGTTGAACAGAGTAATTTTTTACATTTAGTTTTACATTAACTTATCACATTACTTTCACATTAACCCTTTACAAGAAAACCAAAGCTCAGAGAAGGAAGCTTTCTGTACTCAGGTCCCATAAGTTCTCTTGGTCAGATGAGAACCTGGTCACTTCCTTTGCTCCAGACCTTCCTCTCAGTGGTGTTATGGTTTGTCTCTAGGTGTCCCTCCAAAGCCTCATGCAGTCATGGAGCAGACTTCAAGAGTTTGAGATTAACTCATGATTCACTGGGATTATGGGTGACCCAAGGCTGAGATTATGGGTCTGAGTACTGCTGGGATGATGGTGTGAGTGCTACACACAGCCTGGGGCAGATAGCCTACAGGTAACATAAGGGAGACCGATTTGCTCTCTGCAGCCATTGTTGCTGCTACTTCTCCATTTTGCTCTCTGCTCTTTGCTACCACCATGAAAGGTTGCTCTCTGTAGTGTGCCACTCTGCCTTGGAGCCACCTGAGTATGAACTGAAACTTCCACTAACTGTGAGCTAAATAAACCCTTCCTTTAAAACAAAACAAAACAAAACAAAACAAAGAAGGAACCTCTCGTAAGGCCATTTGACACTAGAAGTAGCTCCCAGTTTGAGTTTGCCAGAATGTGGTCAGAGCTGCTGTTCTTAAGCCACTTGGCTACCCTTTCTTCAGCCTCTCCCTTATTGTGGCTAGTTTGTGGGACTTGTCTTCCTCGAAGTACTAGAGAAATTTTAGATCCACAGTCAGCATTAACTAAGTCAAATCTAGCATGATACTAGAAAACATATATGTACCTTTTCTGGAACTTTCTGCTGCATCAGAAATAGAAATATGAAGTAAAGGGTTGAACATCCCTTCTTTGATGCTGGGTCACAAGTTGATGTCTATGTTTCTATTGCCCATAAACTCATACCTTGTGTCTTAAGATCCTGAGTATGTGTATTATGACCCACCATTGTCTGGTCCTTTGGCATTTAGGGTGAAGAGATTGTGTCCCAAGATTCCCAGGGGAGCACAGCAGAAGAGAGTGAGGACAGCGCACCATCGCAGGTCTCCCAGAGCAGTGCTGCCCAGGTATCTGTACAGGGCACCAGAGTCTGACCCTGAGGGCTACCCTGGGGGTGGAACCCAGGGCCTTTCTTTTCTTTTCTTTTTTTTTT